AAAAATGGCAGACAGCTATGGCTCAAATCGTTATTCAGGAATGTGATCAGTTGTCTAGGAATTGAGGGAACAGAGGGGGGCTGAAGAGAGGTTAGAGCAGTGTTTCTCAACCTATGCTGGCTGGGGAATTCTGGGAGTTGAAGTCCACCCATGTTAAACTTGCCAAGGTTGGCTGGCTGGGGAATTATATATGCTGGCTGGGGAATTCTGGGAGTTGAAGTCCACCCATGTTAAACTTGCCAAGGTTGAGAAACACTGCTCTAACCTCTCTTCAGCCCCCCTCAGTTCCCTCAATTCCTAGACAACTGATCACATTCCTGAATAACGATTTGAGCCATAGCTGTCTGCCATTTTTATTTTTTAGGAATGGTTATATGGAAAACATATTCAAATTCGTCTGTAAATGTTCTAGGTCCTTGTATGATGGGCCATTTTTATTTTTTAGGAATGGTTATATGGAAAACATATTCCCTTCACTCTGGAAAACAGATGATGCTTCATGATAGTAATATGATTTATAAAACAACAACTTTCAAAGAATCTAAAAGAAATAAATTAAACTCAAGCCGGACAAGAAGGCTGACAGATAAGCCTTGAATTTATATGCAGCTATAAAATACACAGAATTATTTGTCTATTCATTCTAATAGTCTTGATTTGTTAGGAGGCATCGCTCAGTACCAGGCTCATGGCCCATCATACAAGGACCTAGAACATTTACAGACGAATTTAAGGGGGGGAAAAAGGTGTGTGTGTGATGCCTACTTTTTCTTTCTGTCTAAAAAACACTGACATTTATATTACCTACAACGCTTCTTAAAACAGAGAAGTTTTTCACTACTCGTTTTGAGATCAACCAATCCCCAATTTCACTGTAGGTCTCCCTCCTTGCAAGAGCTAATGGCTACTGAAGAAAGAATATTGGATTGGTGAGAGGCTTAAGAACAGATGAATGAAATCTTTCTCTGGGGAAGCCGAATGAAGGAAGCCAAGAAGAAGGAAAATATCACAGCATCAGCCAGATGACCTCACTGCAGTCCAGATGTGCAGCCTCTTTAATGGAGTTGTTGTTTAAAGATGTCTTTTGTGCACATCTTAACGCCATACACAATTAACGCAGTCATCCAGGTGCAATGCATGCTGATTGCTAGCTGACAGTGTCAGCTTCTCAGCCAAAATCTAACAGTCTGGGAACATTCCCTGAGTTGCTGAAAGTGGGTGTGCAGGGACTGTGTGCGTTTGCTCTGATTCACCACCTCAGGATGTCACCAAAGGATTGAAAGGGACCACAAACTGCCAGTATCTTGCAACTCTGGCTCGCAAAATAGGATTTCCTCCACAGCAAACAGCCAAGATAACAGCTTAGAGGCCCATCTGGAATTACTCAGCACAGGATACACACACACACACACACACACATCTATTTCTTGCCTCTTTTGCTTGTCTGCCGCCTTGGTGACGGCACAACCGATGTTATTCATCAAGTGAAAGGCTTCCAACATGTCAGGAAGTTCATGTCCAAGACTTGATGATGGGAAAAGATCGCCCACTGATTAACGCCCTGAAGGAAATTCCCATCTGAATGCCTACAGTGTATTGAAATCTAAGTGGGCACTCTTGTTTAAAAAATAAACAAAAACCCTCCCAAAGTATTTTAACTATGTGTGCAACCAGCTGGTTCTCTGCCCTAAGCAACTATTGGTACAATTCCGTGAAAGTTGGTCTTAAGAATATTGATCGTGGGTTATTTGAATTTAGTTCTGGCTACCTTTAGCTAAAAAAATGCAATGTATATCTTTTTTTTATACTCTCCTAAATAGGAGCTTTTCCATACAAAGGGCACAAAAAACAGCATCTGCCTTTGACCAAAATGTGACTGGAGATACGATTTCAGCTGGGCAAATCTTTTTATTATATATGCTACTATCTGTAAACATTCACTCAAGTTTACACCAACTTTTTAAAAACTTATTTTAGGCCTAAGATGAAATTCCTTTGTGCAAATTTCACAAAACTAGTTTAGGCTTCTGATATACCTACTGTAACAATAGAAGAGAATATGTGTAGCTCAGGGTTGAACTGTGGAGTCCTTGGGATTCTCTGAGCTTGGTTGTTTTCTTGCAAGCATTTCCATTCAAGCCCAGATGTTGTTACTGGGCGGGGTAACGAAACGTTTGCAAGAAAACACCC